AAACCCGCAGCCGCTACCCTTTGGGTGCGCACAGGGTAAAACCCCCGCTCTTATGCAATAGCTCGCAAACCACATAGGAGAGGTAAACCGCACTAGGCAAGCCTGGTGCGACGAGCTCGACCCAGAAGGCAAAACCCCTTGCTTTCACTGGCAAGGGGTTTCGAACTTGAGACCTCCAACATGGAAGTCCCAAGCTCAAACCACTGGGCCACCCCGAAGGGTCTGTCTTATCACTCCTTTTGGATGAGATAAATCAGACAATAAGTGAATAGGAATACTCTGCAACACATGTGAAATTAAAACAACTCTTCCACCAAATGATAACATTTTTCCTTGCCATCCCTGTATTCTTTTTCCCACCTTTTTAATCACTGAATCATAGTGGGAAATCTTATTTCTTCCATAGAATATAGGACATCCCAAGTATGTGAAAGGGAAAGCTCCATGTTTTATGTTGGTTAGTCTTTTGATGCTTCCTATCAGTCTTGAATTCACCTTTTCATGTACATAAAATGCACTCTTCTCCAAATTAATTAGCTGACCTGAAGAGTTTTCATATCTTCTTAGTACCCTAATTATCATCTTCATTGATTTCTTGTCGGCCGATACAAATAAAATTGTATCATCTTCATAAGAAAGATGGCTAATATTTGGGCTCCATTTGGGTAGACCATATCCTTTGAATTCTTAATTTTCCCACAGAGCATTTAAACCCCTCATTAGTGTTTTTGCTGCAATTATAAAAAGAGCCGGTGATAATGGATCTCCCAGCTTGACTCCTCTAGATGACTTGAAAAATCAATGAGTCTGCCCATTTATCAAAATTGAGTACCAGTTATTGGACAGAAGTCTATATACCATGTCAATTAAAACTTCAGAGAACCCAAATTGTCTCAGAACTTTAGTGAGGAATACCCATGATAGCCTATCATATGCCTTGGTCATATCTAGTTTTACTACCACATTTGCTGTTTTTGTCCTCATCCTGATATCCCTTATAATCTCCTGTGCCAAAAGAATATTTTCCACTATATTTCTTCCTTTAACAAAACCTGTATGGTTTTCCGAGATGATAGTAGGCAGAATATTCTTTAATCTCTCATGTATAACTCTAGAAATTATTTTATTACAGAAGTTACTCAAGCTAATTGGTCTTACATCTGCATAGGTATGCACCTGGTCCTTTATTGGTATTAAGACCAAATTTGTGAGTAATATATCTGGGAATCTCTTGGCCTACAAAGAAGGCCCTTACCATTCTAATTATGTCTTCTTTTATGATGTTCTAGCATGTATGATAGAAAATACTTGTAAATCCATCTGGACCACATGCACTTTCTTTATTTAACCCAAATACTGCTGCTTTAACTTCTTCTGTTGGCAATTCCTCCAGCTTTTGATTCTGCTCCTCTGTTACCAAACGAGGAATATGA